TTCAACAGCAGCTCCCTGGATTTCTGGAGTCCAGTCCTGATGGGTGTATAAGGTGGTGCTATTCTTTCAGAAAGTTATTTAGCAATACAGGGCAGACATCTTCCTATGTGACTGGTTAAGTGTATAGGCTCTGGCATTCAAGAGACACGTCTGCAGCTCAGCTCTGCTACTAACCAGTTGTGCAACTAAGTGCAGTGACAACCCCTTAGAGGTGCAGCTACTTCTATGCGAGGAAGCTCACAATACCTACCCCCTCCCCCAAATTTCTCATGATTACATGAAATGCTGTATGTGGAGCACATAGTTCTCAGCTAACAGTAGTTGTTAATTCTAAATCTTATAGTGATATAAAATGAACCAAAGCTCAGAGAGTAAGTATATTTACTCGGGCTTTTTTCATATCTAAAGACCTAGTATGAGAGGCAGCATAGGTAGACCCTGAAAACACACACAAGGGGACCTTTCATGGGAACAAAGGACAGCAGCTACAAGAACACACATAACAAGTCCATAAACAGATCTTGCAAGGAAAGGGGAGCACTGGGGAAAAAAATTACAGGAAGCCGGGCATGGTGGCACACGCCTGTAATCCCAGCACTCGGGAGGCTGAGGCAGGAGGATCATTGCAAGTTCAAGACCAGCCTGGGCTACAAAGTGAGCTCAAGGCCAGCCTCAACTGCATAGCGAGATCCTGTCTCAAAAACACAAACAAAACAAAACAAACAAAAATTACAGGAAAAGGACTAGAAAGGAAGCTGTGGAAATAGGTATCCACAGTTGAATTCAAGTAGTTGGATTCGGAATGATTTTCTCTCTTTCCCCCGAGTTTTGAGCTGTCTATGAGATTACTGGATCATTTTGACAAATAAACAAAAATGAGAATCACTTGAAAAGGGCAGATTTTGAATGGATCTAGCCAGGGAGGTGAGCAGGGCAGTGGCTCAGGGGCCCCTGCTGGATAGATCTGTACTATTCTTACTTAGTACAATGAAATTCAAATAACCAGCATGGTCAGTGGAGCCCTTATGTAATAAAAAGGTGTTCTGTGTCTCAGCCATGGGGAGACCAGGTGTGTAGTGGGCAGGGCTCAGAGGGGCAGGTGATCAGGACTAGGCCCCAGGCCCAGCTCTACCCACAAGCCCCTCATCCTTGGGAGGTGGAAACAGCCCTACCATCTCCCTCCAGACTCAGCTACTCTGTGAGGGCCACTGCCCCTGGCTCTGCTGCCTCCTCCCAGCAGGGAACAAATGGTGGCTTCTCTCTACACTTGGGGTGTAGAAGCACTTGGGGACAGTGTGGCCACAAACCCTTGCCTCAGTTGGCACAGTGTGTGGTCCTGAGGGGCAGGCCGTCCCGCTCACACTGCTGGCTTGCTAAGCTGGCTGTCATCCTCAACACCTTGCAAGCTGGAAGGGAAACAAGCCAGGGCCAGGCACATTCTGGCTAGAAACCACCAAGGCTTACTCTCCTGGGTCCACAGGTATTTAGCCCACACGATGCCCACCATGGGGGCCAGGTTCTCACTACTAAGAATAGCACAGAAGCATATTGGGTGTTAACTAGAAAAAGGGCCAGGTTTCTGTTATCACACAGCCAATCTCACCACGGTCTGACCCCGAGACCTTCAGCAAGTTACTGAAAGTCACTTCCTAAGCCCCAGCTTCTCTATGTGTTAGCTGGGAAAGCTACAGCCACCTTCCACAATCTTAAGGAATGTTCATCCAATGTCCCTCCTCTGTCCTTCCCCCAGCAGAGACACTAGCCGCCCACGAGCACCGCTCTGCAGCAGTGGGAGGAACGAAGGGCTCTCTGGTTCCTGACTTGGCTCCGGGGAACCTTCGCGGAGGGTGAGGAGTTGGGAAAGTCATCTTAGGACATGGGCTGTTCTGGGGCAAAGCCAGACCAGAACCGGACGCCATGGGCCCTTGTCCCGAAGAGGGCAGCAGAGTGCCAGGGACAGAACGAAGTAAAGCGGAACTCTGAATCTTGGCCTGAAGCTTTAGACCAGGGGTCTTGGGAACACAGTCACGTGGCTTTTCTGAGTCTGAGCTCCCAGTGTGGGAGGCAGCCCCCCAGGGCGCAGGACACTGAGGGGCTCCAGGGTGCGCCTGCTCCCTGGTGTTTAAGCTCAGGCCTCTTCTGACGCTGAGGGCATTTCCCCAGTTCTACTCTGAAAAGTAAGGGAAGGCGCTGGCACTTGGAGAGAAATGCAGACTGCATATTAATCAGCTAATGGTAACTGAGAAACACAGAGATGGTTTCTCCAGAAGTCTTTCAGAAGTGTTCTTCCCAATGCCAACAAATGGCTTGAGGGGGCTAGGAAACCTACCCTTGATTCAGGAAGGAAATCTGATGGGTGAAAATTTCATTTTGGGCAAATGCGAGTCCACATAGTCACCATGGGAACTGCCTTGCGAGGCCTCCTCTCCAACATGCCGTGTACCTAGCGGGTTTTCAAAGCTAGCTGGTGAATGAAGAGACACATGAATGCACAGATGGAGCAACGGACGGAGGGACATCAGCTGGAAAGGAAGGAACAGACTTCATCGAGGGACTGGGCAGAGAGCTGTGGGCCGCTGCTGCTGGGCCTTAATGGATCCCAGAATGCTCAGCGGCTGCAGGGGACGCTCTCATTCTTAATCAGCTCCATCTTGCTGGCTGTGAAGTTAATTACGGAATGTGCTACTGGGAGTGAGGGCTGGGGCAAGAAGTCAGGAGGACTGAATCTCCCCCTCAGCTTCAAAGATCCTGCATCTCCTTGTGCCGCCCAAATCCTCTAAGTTTCCGATGCACTTTGATATTCCCGGCAGAGATGAAGACCCAGGATTCAAGAAAATCCAGGCCAGATGAAAGGGCCAGACGCCGAGTCCATGTACCCGGCACAGAACCACCCTCGACAAAGGCCCATTAAGCCCCGGCTCCTGCCTGCCGCCTCGTCTTCCCGCATCTCCTAACACAATGCTGACAGATTGGTGGAGCTGGTTTCCTTTCCCCCAGAACAATATTTTATGAGGAGTCTGTTTTATTAAAATATTTTCCGCTGGATGCTTCCTGTGTTTCAAGAAGTTGGTCTTGCCAGCTGGAGCTGATGACAGTTGAGAAAAACACATCCAAGTGCTGTTGTGACATGGCATTTGGAAGCAGAGGAGCACGGTGGGGGAGGGGTGGCAGCGTGGAAGAGACGCAGGAAAACACCCGGTAGCACCAGAAATGGCACCGGCACCAGGGGAGCACAGCCTCCCTCCCTCTTCATTAAGAGAATGTGAAAAGAAACTCTGGTGACAGTGTCCCAGAATGGACCTCTCCACCTCTTGGTAGGTCTGGTCACAGACGACCTGTCCTTTGCCATCACTGTTACTACGCCAACTCCCTAAACCAGCCCCCACTGTTATCTGAGCTTCTGGTGCTTCCGGAAAAGAAATCTAAGATGGTAAAAGTCCGAGCAGCACAGCTCGGGTAACACCCAGGGAAACGGCATTCTCAGACGCTGGCTCTTTGGCACACACCGCAGAGTCATCTCCTATTGCTGGGTTTGGAAGAGCAACAGCATAAATAGATGTGGATAGAAAGTTCACGTTCCAGTCAGGAACCTGGTCATCAACTGGGTCATGCTTCTCAGTAGAATCTGGGGTACTTTGGGTCTGGGATGTTTTGTGCAATGCATGCTGGGTTTACAGCTCAGTAACTCATGGGCCTGTAACCCAGTACAGTATCTAGAAGGTTCAGTTCAGCTTTAAAGAGGTGACTTTAAAGAAATGTTAATTTCATCCTGCTCAGGAGAAATCGTCTGGGCCTGCGGAAGTATGGAGCTATGCAGTAGTCTCTCCACAAGGGGGCAATCATAGTCCATGCCAGAGAGCTTTACCAGTATTCCCACCGCCCCATTGTGTACAGTGTAAGTTAAGCCTACACCCAACTTCAGAAGCTCTCTGTTCCAAATTTCACACAATCAAGCACCTCCTGAGACTCACCCCAGGGTTTTCTGTGCAAGTCTGGGGGCCAAGGGGTGGGCTGCTTCTACAAAGACCTGGGAGTCAAGCAGTGTCCGAGGGAGGGCAGAGGACTTAGGAGACGTGAAGTACACCACAACCCGGGCTAGGCCACAGCTCAGCATTCAGAACTGTCTCTTTCTTTTAGCTTCAATTTTGCCCAGGCCTGGCCATCTCCCTTAACTTCTGTCCCTGAGAAATTTCCCAAAGGCAGGCCAGGTATGAGGGGCATTCCCTTTTCCGCTCAAAGAACTAATTTATTTGATTCCTCCAACAACTCCAGACCAAGAATTCCTGTACCCTCTAAAGGCATCATGGGAAGCTGATGTGCACCTGCTGAGTTGTCTGGGCAGGGCCCAAGGGCTGCGTGCCTTGTGGACAAAGGAAGGCGGCATTACTTTCTCCAGATGGCTCTGGAGTCTAGGTTGTCTGCAGCTTTTGGTCTCACCCCATTCAGGGGACTCATTCACTATCCTATAGTCACTTGGCCTGTGACCGAGCCAGTTCTGGGTTAGGTCCTGCACCCAGGGCCTGCTCCTGAGGAGCTCCAGGTCTAAGAGGAGAAACAGTAACCACACAAATGGTATGTAGTGCACACAGCCCTGAAGCAGGTGGAGCAGTGAGAAAGAACGCCTCATCTACAGATCCGAGCCACAGAGAACTTGAACACCACTAGGCCTAAGGTGGTGGCCTTGTTAACCAGGTGGCCTCCTTGACCGGTTGCTAGCTCTTACCTGAGGACTCCGCATCTTTACAAGACAAAGTCTGGGGCCCTCACCACTCAAAAGCCAGCCCAGGTGCCAGTGGCTCCTTGGCCTCTGCGGCCTCCTGCTGATGTGACAACTGGAATGACCAGAAGGAACAAGCAGCAGCAACCCACACTGAGAACCCAGCTCTACTCCCGCCTGGCGTCTCTGTGAAACCCCTGCTCAGGCCGGAGTACAGACTGGAGAGCCACAAAGCGCTGCCTGCTGGGTTCTCACAGGCAGGAGGGGAGCCACGGGTACTCACTGCTCGGGGCTTGAGACGGACGTCCTTCGGCCTTCCACGGAGATGTTGCTCTTCGGTCTCTTGACAACGTGAGGACGGGGCGGGCGAACCTAGAATGGTCATGGGGAAAACCCCAAGGAATGAGTTGGGAAAGTCACATAGGGACATTCTGAAGATTTGGATAAGCAGCCCCCAAAGAAATGTTTAGGGATTTTCAAAGTACAGGCTACAAACGCCCCGTTCATCATGGGAACACTCCCAGTTAATGCGAAGTGGACAGATACATTCATTGGACTTCTGTGGCCTACTCAGTCAGAAGGGTCCTCCTCATCTACAGGGTGGGGACGGTCTCACCAGCTGCCTCTATAGAGGCAGTGAAGGTTGCAAGGACTGCTCTCAATGGGAGACTCAGAGAATAAGAGCCTTAGCCTCGTAGTGCAAAAAAGTTTCCCTCAGACTTGTTGTGGGGGTACACATAGTCATTTTGTTCTTTTTTATAACTGAGCTACAGGGTTCTCATTTTTCTTTCTAAATGGGAGGGAAAAGCAAATAACAATGTCAGAGAATGCCAATTAAACCCATCCTTTTGCTTCCCTGGGCGTCTGAGCCACTCCTCCAGGAGGTCTCAGAAGTCACACACCTCCTGCGGCCACACTGAGTGCAGACCTGGTGAAAAGGTGGCAGTAGGGGTACCAGGAAATGGGCAACTTCCTGAGCCCACGGCCGGCACTCTGATGACAAATGGGTTGGTTATTCTAAGCTGCCACCTCTGAAACCCAAAGCAAAGGCCCACAGAAAAGGACGCCCTTCCTTCACCAGACCAATAATGGGTGTTACGCTAGGAATTTCTGTGTTCTTCGAAGGAAACTCATTTGGTCCAATCAACATTACATGGTTTTATATTTGGTACCATCATCTCACCATTTCTAGCACCAGAGAGCGGCAGGGAGAGAGCTAAGCTAAGAAAGGCCCTCTGTGAATTTCACTGCCAATAAAAATAACTGATCACTGCAGAGGGCGGAGGGGGCTCACCCTGCAGATTCGATGTCGCACTTGCTGCATTTTGAGGACAGGACAGGGAAGGAGAGGACACACGCACTCCATTTCCTGCCCCCTCCAACACTCCGGCCCTCAGGAATTTGTGGGCAACCCAGAACAATGGCTTTGGAACAAGATTATAGAAGGTGGCTGTACACAAGACAAGTCTTTAGAGGATCTCACCAACCCCTTGGGTCTGCACATGTCTGATCTAACCAAAGTTTTTCTTGCAGAGTGGCCAGTCTGAGCCCAGCCTTTCTTGGCAAGTCAGCGATGAGGGGAAAGCCAAATGCATTCCACCAAACTTGCTGTGTCTTCCTTCATGGGGCTGCTGCAAAGGCATAAAGACAGGACAGGGCACAGAGAATGCCCCAGCATGGGCTCTGGAACACGGTGGGTGTTTAATAAATGCTCATCTTACTTCTCTGTGACTGGGATTTCTCCTTCTTATCAATCAACAAAAGGAAGATGGGTGGGGGGGTGCCTCTGAATTAGCAGATGAATTTTAGGATTGTCTTCTTCCTAGCCTCTTGCCTGGTATATAGTTGGAAGTTCAGGGAGGTTTTTACACACAGGAATGTTACTGCTTGGAATCTATGAAGCACATAAGACTGTCACTATTATTATCATTGCTACTAGCATGGTGTCCACCACCCAGAAGACATTTGATCAACATCTGCTGAATATATGAATGAATATATCCCTTCCCCCGATTCTAACTCTGAGCTGGTTTCCTTAGTGGCAGCCAGACTCCCCTGGCAAACACAGACAAGATCTGCATGCTAGAAGGATCCCCCAGACTGTTCCCCATCAAGGCAAAGGCGGGATGCAGCTGGGGTGGAGGAGCAGTTTTGCCCCTGCCCCAGGGGGCCTGCAGCGGGCATTCTGGTGAGGTCAGACTTTAAGGCCTGTCAGCTCATCCTGCACAGAGCTGCTCCTTGCTACAATAAAGACGGGTTAAGAATGTGAACTTGTGGCTGAAATGGGGGGATTAAGTTTGTGGCAACTTCAACTGAACTTGCAACGTGGTGAAACATGGGGAAAAAGAACAACAGAGCTAATTAGACGAGCTGAGCTGTCAGAGTGCCGCTGAATGGCTCAGCGCCAACAAACAAAAGGAATGGGTTGGCAATCAGCAGGATCGATGGAGGAGACTGCTTCATTAGGGATGATAAAACAGACAGAGGGAGAGGCAGGGGGAGGGGCGGGGGCGGGAGAGAGAGACACAAGCGACCAGAGATAGTCACCCTGGCGGTTACAGACCCACCCGGATTCACACACACCTGACTGCTGTGGACAAAGCCAGATACAAAATTATCCTCAGACAACCACCGGATCACCGAGGCCTGGGGATTGCAACATACACAGTCTCACAAACAGACACGCACAAGGCCTGCATAGGGGTGAAGATGCAAGAATCTCTCTCTCCTCTCACACACACACACACACACACACACACACACACACACACACACGCAATATAGCAGCAAACCACAACCAGCCAAAGGCACACACAGACAAAATGGTTTAATTAAGCTGGAATCACAAGACGATGCAGACAACTCCCGTCATATTTCAGCAATCACATTCCTCTTTCTGGGGTGTTTCACAGGAGTAGGGATGTGAAAACCACCCATACACATCAGGGGCGGGCCCACCACTGCTAGGATCCCAGCAGAGCCAGGGGAGAAAATGCTAAGCAGGGATTTCCAGCTCTGTTCAAGGGGGACTGGAGGGGAGAGTTGGGAAGCCAGCCAATTCCCCACTGGATTTAAAATCTGAGAAATCTAAGTCGGCAGGGTTAAATGTGTATTGAATACAAAGGCACCGAGTACATTTGATTTTAATGGTGAGTGAGAAATAATAAATACAGAGCTTACAAAGTGCTTCGCATACAGGCCGACCACAGCCTGCCTCTCCCCAGCAAGCCCCACCACTGCCCTTGGTTGGTGAGACCCCAGCACCAATTTCTTCTGTTTTCTTTCCTTCTCTTTTTAATAAAAACCCCAAACACCGTGGTCACGGCTGAACTCCAGCCACAGGTGCCAGGCTACAAAGCTCCTTCCAGAATGGCGGAGGAGCCGGGTGTGGTGGCGCACATCTGTAATCCCAGCACTCGGGAGGCTGAGGCAGGAGGATCGTTGCGAGCTGAAGACCAGCCTGGGCTACAAAGTGAGTTCAAGGCCAGCCTGAACTGCACAGCGAGACCCTGTCTCAAAAAGACAAAACAAAACAAAACAAAAACAGAATGGTGGAGGGACCGGGCCCCATGCCTGCCACCCTGGGCCAGTGGCTGCACTGGATGTTTGCAGCTAAGTAAGCCAGCAAAGCCTGGCTGGGGGCTTGTCAGGCTGTCATCTTTGAGGCCCCGAGCAGCCCCACCCTGGGTTTCCCTGGTTCCTACCTAGAACGTAGTAGGCCATTGTAAGTGCTTGCATAAATGTGTGCCCAGAAAACAACCGTCTTCCGTGGCTCCCAAACTGCCTCTCAGCAGTCTTGTTTGGCAGGCGAACATACTCATTCCATGCTCTGTGTATGACCTCACTCTCCTCACCTGGTGGGTATTGCTAAACTCATTCTTAGGCAATGAAACTAAGGCTCAGAGCAGGTAAGGATCTTGCCTAAGTCACACAGCCAGGAACTGGTCAAGCTGTGATTCCATTAAGGGCAGGCCTCTCTGACTTCAGAGCCCAGGGGAGGAGTTCTAGGCACCTGCCTCCTCAGCGCACCAGAAGCCAGGGGAGGGGCAACCCTGAGTGCTGGGCCTGTCATTCTTGCACCGGGTCAAGGGCAGAGGCAGCTGCCCGTCAGGCTTCTCCTGTGGCAACTTTTGCCTTTCCAAGGCCTCGTGTGCTGGTGGATGTGGCTGGGCATCCCCCAATCTGTGTGAGTCTTCTGGAACCCACGCCTCTAAGGATCCTGACGGCTACCCTTTACAGGGGCCCCAGGGGAGGCAGTTTGGCGGAGAACAAGAAGAGGTAGGCCTGGCCTCAGAGGCCAGTTTGGCCTCTTCTCATCTCTGTGGTCTTGGCTACAAAAAGGGGAAAGGTCACCTGCCTCTTGTAAACTGTAATGAGGACGAGTGAGACAATAACTGGGTGCCCGGCGTAGTCCTAGACACATTAGAAGGAGCTCAGTATGTCAGTTCTCTCCCCCGCTGTATCCCTGCCAGAACCTAACTCTGCCCCGGCAATGCCACAGGAAGCCCAACTAGTTGCTGATTATTTTTTTTTTCTCAACTGAAGCTTCTGTCCCAGTACTTTATGCTAAGTCTATCTTTGTTTCCATGGCGATGGAGGGTCGGGGAGCTCGGGATGCTGACAACATCACAGGTTCTAGATCCTGGTGATTCCTGGCGAAGGACTTGGGTTAAGTTACAAAGCACCTGCTTTCTCACCTGTAACATGAGGGGTGACAACCTATACTTCACAGAACCACTGTGGATCTCAACCGAGGTAAGGAACCTAGGAGGGATTTGTTGATTGTATAATCCTAAGCAAATGATGGTTCTTAATAAACCTGGCCATTCCTTAGAAGTTGTAAAATGTTAAGAACCTGTTCAGCAGAATAAGAATTGCTACAGTGTGCAGGTGTTATGCTAGGTGCTCTTCAAATATTTTCCCTGTTCGTTCTCACAGGAAATCCCCATGAATGAGAGTCTAGTTCAGAAGCAGCACTGAGGCTCAGAGAGTTTCAGTCCTCGCCCAAAGTCACACAGCCACAGCATTCCAGACTAGCTCTCCTGATTCCCCACGTCCATGCTGCTAATGACTGCATGCAGACACTCACTAGACCCTACAAGGCTCAACCCAGAAGGGGCTTCCTGTTTCCCAAAGTAGGCCTTCTTGCTGCTTGTGCCTTCCTTCCAACGACAGTGAGCAGGAGCCTTCCAGCCTCTTGACAGCTGTGCCGACTGGGGTTTGGGTTAATCATGGTTTTACAGGACGGATTCACTGTCCCAAATGCCGGCATGTAGACTCACGGCTGTCACAGGTGAAGCCAGCTAAATCCTCCACCTCTACCCTAGCCCTCTAACTCCTACACATGGTGGGTAAGGGGAGGAAACAGCCTCAGCCAATATCCAACATCCACCCGGACAGAGTCACCCAGTGGATGCCGTGTGTGCTCATTAAGGACTCAAGACCGACACACAGTTTGGCCTGGTACCTTCATGAGATGGACCGATTATGTGCAGTGGTGAGAGTGGGCTGGGCTGGGATGTCAGTTTGTGGGGTGTTTTGATTGCAGCTGATCCCCTATGTGGCCATGACGTGTGGCTGTTTGGGACCACAGACTGGGAAACTTCCCTAGGTAAACAGCCCTCATCAAATGGTCCTGGCGAGTTTTCCACTTTAAGGCACCTGCTAAAGTTGTTATGCTTCAGCACAGCCAAAGTCTGAGTATACAAGAGAAAACAGCCTCACCAATGATCAGTGCCAGACCCACACCCCATACATACTTTTCCATGGCATTTCTCTTTAAGACACACAATGGGCCTCTCTTCCCCTCCCGCCCAGTTCCCAGGTGTTGGTGTATTTATCACACTTTGCCCTGCTCTTCCGCTCTTAACTCCATACTTTCCTGGGAAGATAGCTGTCTGTGGGAGGCCTGGCAGGGGTACAGTACCTGTCTCCATTTGGGCTGGCTCCATATTCTCTGGGCGTAGCCTCTGCCCTCGGGAGGGAACACCAATGCCTTTCCAAACCAAGATCTGGCAGGAATGGGACCCCTGCTGCCAGACTTTGGCTTCCCTTGTGAGGAAGAGGCATTGGGAGCATGGCTTTACAGCTCCTTGGCTAGAAACATGGCTTGCCTGTGAGATGCGCAATGATGCACACACCCGGGTACCTGTGCCTCTGACCCTCTGAGCATCACGGAATTGATTCAGAAAAAGGAGAGAGAAGCCCAGAAAATGCAAGTTCAGGTTCATGCCACACAGCGAGGGAAGCTGAGAAACCCAATTCCCGGTTTCCTCTTGCCAGGCAGGAGAGTCCACACTCCCAAGGTTTAGTCAGTTGGGGAGAACGGCTCAGGCAGTGTTAGGCGGGAGGGCACAACCACCAGCTACTCACGGGCCTTGAGCGCTGTATCTTGGGAGGCGGCGGTCGAGTGGGACGGAGTCTTTGTGGCTGCATTAAAGTGGAAACTTAAAACATCAGTACACACTGAGATGATGCAATGCATTTCCACACACAATGTGGGAGAAAGCATCCAGTCACCTAAGGCAGGGCCACAGCGCCATCCCTGATGCCTCCTGTTCCTCTCCTGCCTGGGCCATCTTCTAAGGCTGTCCCTTGTGCTGATCACTAAGTTCTGGTCTCGTCTCTGGTCTGGATTACTACGATCATCTCCCGAAAGGGGCCCTGCTAGGATCCCCTCCATCATCTTCCACGGAGGCCAAGGACCTTCTGAATTGCAATGAAACCAGGCCACACTCAGTTTCAAAACCTCTGGCACCCCTCCTTTCCTGGGGTGACAACTCAAGGTTCTGGGCCAGCATTACAAGTCCTCCAATTCCTGGACCCCACCTTGCCCCATGTAGCCCTGCCCCAACTGCCTGTGCCCGCCTTGGGCAGACCTTCAGTGGCCTGGGCTCTGGGCCTCATCTCCTGCTTGCTCCTTGGGTACCATGTTCTACCCTGTCCCAGCTGGCCCAGTAAATTTCGACTTGTTCAACACCCTGCCCACATCAGGGGGTGTCTCCAGGACTCCCACTGCCCTGTACTTCTTTGGGATTCACTGTGAAATATCCCTCTGTCCCCACACACTTTGAAATACCCATTTCCTTAAGGGATCCCTCCCTCTGGCTGTGGAAGGTTGTAGGGCATGTGGAGAAAAAGAAAAAAAAAACAAAAAACAAAAACTGCTCAATAAATGTCTGAGGAACAAACGCAATTTATACAAAATGCTTGGCTTTGAAATCAGTATCCAAATCAAAAGCAACAGAGTACAGACTTCTCACCTCTCCCATCAAACCTTTCATCTCCAAAGCCAAGCTGTGTCCTTTCAACAGCACACCTAGAGGCCCTGAACGTGGCGGGAGATGGGTAGGCAGAGTAGGGTCAGGAGAAGCCCACACAAGTCTGAGACCATGGCCACTCCCCAGCAAACCTTGAGCCTTCCAGTTGGTCCCTGCCCCTTTAGTCACTCAATTCACAAAGATATGTCACCATCTGTCAACCTTCACACCCACAACAGCCACTAAAGTGGCCACATGTGGCGAGTCCAAATTAAGATGGGTTGCAAGGGGCTGGGGATATAGCTCAGTGGCATAAGCACCTGCCTGACAAGCGCAAGGTCGTGAGTTCGATCCCCAGTACCACCAAAAAAAAAGATGTGTTGCAAGCATTAAAAAAATACTAGATTTTAGAGACTGTGGAGGAGAAAAGAATGTAAAGTATCTCAGTAATTTTTAAAAAACTGGTTACATGTTGAAATGATAGTATGTTGGATATTTGGGTTAAATATATTATTAAAATCAATCTCATCTGTTTCTTTTTTAATGCCTTTACTAGAACATTTAGAATTCTACATGTGCCTTGCATGTGCGCTTATGTCACATTTTTCTTGGCCAGTTTTACTTGGTGGGAAGGAGATACTTTGGATCTCAAATTTGCCTTGGAGCTGCCTGGAAGTCTTTTTTTTTGGTGGGGGGGCACACTAGGAATTAAACCCAGGGCTTTCACACTGAACTATATCTCTCCAGTCCTTTGTATTTTTAGTTTTTTTTTGTACTGGGAACAGGTTTAGTTTTTATTTTGAGGCATGGTTCTTGCTAAGTTGCCCAGGCTGGGCATGAGCTTGTAATTCTCCTGCCTCAGCCTCCCAGAGAGGTGGGATTACAGGCACATGCCACCACACCTGGCTGGGATCTCTTTCTGAACCCAACACCTAGAAGAACCCAACACCTGTGGCAGGTGTCCCTGGATCCCTGCATAGGGTTTGTCAGAATGGCCCAAGCAGAAGTTGGCAGAGGGATTTGGTGGAGGACTGGATTTCCCTGTAGCACCTGGAGCGCTATTCCCCCAGTTGCAGTTCCCTGTAACATTCTGTACATCTGTAGCCCAGGGCCCAGGGCCAGCACCTGAGCCTGCTGAGCTCCTACCTGGCCTCAGCGGTGCTAAGGCTGGGGACAAGCAGGGGCCTGGGGGCTTAGGCGGAGGGAAGCAGCCTCGGATGGATGGAAATGCAGTGTGGCTTCCCAGATGCTGTGCCATGACCTGGGAGTGCGGGCCGACCCAGGCCTGGCGACCTTTCTTTACTGGCAGTTATGTGGGGGCTGGATGTCACCTAGAGGGATGGGCATGGCTGCTTCGTTTCTTCCCCACTGTGGCTTATAGGGAGGGTATGGGACCAAAGGAAACAGAAGCCGAGTCATACTGCTCGTTGGGAGGAGGAAGAGGACAGGGAGCGGGAGCCCATCTCTCCGCAGTAGACAGGCTACTGCTTTCAGGCCAGGTATCTGCTCTTCCACATACCCAACTGCCCCCTGCTTCTCTCATGCTTGGCCACTCCACTTGTGGTGACCGTGCTCTCCAGTACCACTGTTCTCACTGCTTGTCACCTCCAGCCTGGGCTACTTCCATCCCACCGTGGTGGCGGCATGGCAGAGTCCTCCGGCGGAGGCCTCGGGGGTCAGACAGTGCCGAACACAACACCAGCTGCATCGCTTGCTTGTGGGCTTGCTCTGGGCCTGCAGTGTAGCCCTCTGAGGCTCACCGCCCTTGTCTGTGCAGGGGGGTAATGGAGAGCTCTACCCGAGAGGGCTGCTAGGACGATTCAGGGAGATGGTCACACCGCTGCTCCCCAGACATTAGCAGCTACTACCATTAGCAAGTTCCCCACCTCCGGCCTCTCAGCCTCCCAATTCATCTTCTACACTTATTTCTAGAGTAGACTTAAAAAAAATACATGCCCAATCATGCCACTTGACAGCTTAAATCATCTCAGTGGAAGGCCCTGAAACCCTGCCCTGGTGCACTGAGTGAAGGGAGAAACGGGGTTCCCCAGCCAGAAAAGTCTGAGAGATGCCGCTTGCTGTCCGGCTCCTTGTGGAGATTCTCAAGACCTGCTGGCACAGTAAAGGCTGCTGAGTTTTGCAATTAAAAAAAAAAAAAAAAATCAAACTATGAATTATTTTTAAAAAGTCCTGTGTCTGAAATTTATTTGTACAGACTTACTTTTCCTGTAACACCCACTGGTATCCTCTGGAAAATGCAGGCTGCAGCATCTAAAGCCCTCCAGAACACGCCCCTCACCTTTGTGGTCTCATCTTTGATTAGCCTCCTGGCCCCTAAGACAAACAGAGGCCGTCATTGTCAGCTCACTCATTTTTTTCCCTTCACCCTGGCATGGTAGTTGGTACCTCACAGGTGCTTAGTAAATGATTTTTGGCTGAAACTTTCTGGCTCATGTAGAAACTCAATCAGTGTGAGTTTTCCAGATTCCTTCAGTAACTTATTTTCCTATGCTTATCTTAGGGAAGTACTGTGTTTTTTTGCAATCAAACTTATAAATGGCGCAAGAAGACAGCCTCTTGGCCATGCCCAGCCTACGAGCTGGCAGAGAAATCCAGGGGATTTAAAGATGCCCAGGAGGGTAATGTGGTACAGATGTCCTGGTGCAACCAGATAGATAAAAACAAAATCCAACAAAAGCAACTAAGAACAGGAAACCGCACAGCCTGTGTCTGACATCTGGAGAGTTTTCCCCTCAGGTCATCAGCACCGAGGGATCCAGGCACTAGAGGAAATGGCAGGGAGAGGGAGCGACACTCATTAATTCTGAGCACATTCTGATGCTGCACACAGGGCAGGGACACCTTCTCAGCATGGCCACTAGGAGGAGAAAGGTGAACTCCCAGGGGGTGTGCATTAAAGACCCCCTGGGACTGAGGAGAGAAAGAAGGGGATGTTTGCACTAATTACCTGGTGCCCTGCCATGCAGTGTGTGGGCCTTGGGGGCCCACCACTGAGGCTGGAGAGAAGCAGGCACCGGGAGGAGTACAAGGGGATTGGATGGTGAGCGCACGCAGGGAGCAGTCTTAGGTTTTGGGTGCCAGAGCTCTCGATCTGTGGAGAGCCCTCCTGGTCCCACCACACAAGCTTTGTTGCTGGGAGACTCTGATAAACTTCAGGCCAAAGCACCTTCCACTGTGAACACAATGACAAGCGCCCCACTGCAAGGGCTACGGATGCTGACATACTGTGGCACTCACGGAGGCCAGCACGGCGGACAGCGCCAGGGCAAAGCTTCTGCCCCACGGGGAAGGGAGTGGCAAAGCTGCCTGGCCAGGGTGGCTGCAATTTGCCAAATACACTCATCCTTGGCACTTGATTGCTCTAAAACTAGTGGAATTTGATACTCGATGCATTCTGATGTGAAAAGTTTGTCCCAGTACTCTTTTGTTTGTTACTCAATGCATAAGCTAGAACTTGTGCCACTAGCCTTGTGATTTGCTACCCTTTCCAGCCAAAACAATGTTTGGTACCTGTCACAAATTGGACTTGCTTAATGACAAATACCAAGTTACCACAGGGGTAGATGGCAGTTGGGGACAGACAGAGGCGCAGGGAGAGCCAAGTCCCCTGGGGAGAATTAGATCAGGCGAGGGGTGAGTGGTGGTAATCTGGGTTGGAAGATGGGTGAAGACAGAAGCCAGGGAACGACCGTGATGAATTCAGACCAACTCGCCCTTTTCTAGGAAGTAGTCCCTGTGCTCAGGACCCTGCACTGAGGGTTAAGTGAATGTAGGTACAACAAGAGTGCAAAGCGGACTAAAAAGTCTGTGGGGGGCGGGGGACGGAGTGGGAGGACTCCTCACGTGGGTGCTGATGGAACTACTACTTGGAGGCTAAGAGCCAGGGATGCAGAGAAGAATAAGATGCAGACCCTGTCCTTAAAGAATGTACAGTCTAGTGAGATGTGACCTACGTCATGGATGTATGTCTTTCTTCATGGGAAGGGTATTTGTGGGTGAAAACCTCAAGATATATACTTTGGATTAGAAAAATATGGCTTCATGTGTTCTTGGTTCTGTCTTTGGGTTTTTTTTTTTTTTTTTTTTTTTTTAGACATGGTCTTGCTATGTAGTACACGCTGGCCTTGAACTCACTATATAGCCCCTGCT